CCACTCCCACCACAGCTCGTACCTTGTCTCATCCACTCGACTTCTTCCTTGGTGACAAAACTGCACAAGGCTCTTGCCACCGCCAGGCGTATGGCTCCAGCCTGGGACGACCGCCCACCCCCCGAGACTGTGCAGGTCACGTCGTGTTCTCCAAGCCGGTCAAGGAAGCAGAAGGGGAACATCAACTGTTCTCTAGAACACATCACAGGGAAAGGTAGCTCACTATCGAGATGCTTGTGTTACAAACTGCTCACACTGTCCACATGCATAGAAAGCGAATCACTGAGCATGCCAGCACACATACTTCAGTCAACCAGTAATAGAAACAACTCCTGGTGTCTCTGATGTCGAGAATGCTCTGCAGACAGCCACGTTTCTTCTTCTTCCTGGATAGAGCAATACACCCTCTCACAGTTGAGCCCTTTTCTCTCATGAGAACCTTCTGAAGCTTGAAAATAACCTTGTAAAGAAGTCTCAAAGTTGGGAAATTCCACTCATCAGCGGAATCTCCCTGGATTCAGTGATCAATTATCCAATGCCAGTTAGATTCACTAAACAAAATGCACCGTAACACATCTGTGTAATGTAGGATGCTCATCCTGACATGGTTTTGACAGTTACTAAAACCACATTCAACTTCTACCCACCCCCCAGTCTCCGAAACACCTATTCCTATGACCGGTTCTTGAAGTGGCAGGTGCCACGTGACATTGTGCACAACACCAGCCGGGCCCACTTCCCTTGGCAATCTGTGCCCGCGTGGGCCCCACAGGCACCCCAGCATTGGAAAATGGAACACGGACAGAACACCGCCCAGACCTTCTCTTGCTCAACCCAGCAAGTGACTGTGGAACACCATTTATGTACCAGGTCCAATTACCACTGCCTGTCAGGTACGTTGATCTTACTATTTTGCCCCAGTATCTCTACTGAATATTTAGAAAAGCCGATTCATTTTGCATTGACTTGCTTTATCTGACAGTGTAGCTTTCTAGACCTCAAATAAAACTTATACCACAGTGATGCTGACAGATATGGACAGTTACATTCGAGTGTTACTCTTCAAGCTACACGGGCAAAATAATTGCATGCAGACAGATGGACAGAACCTTCTCTCTGAACAAGACCTTCCAAGAACACAGTTAATTAGAATCTGCAATAGTGCTGCTTCAACAGGGATGTTGTCTCTTTTTTTTTTTTTTAAAGATTTTATTTATTTATTTGAGAGAGAGAGAAAGAGAGAGAGAGCACGAGAGGGAAGAGGGTCAGAGGGAGAAGCAGACTCCCTGCTGAGCAGGGAGCCCGATGTGGGACTCGATCCCGGGACTCCAGGATCATGACCTGAGCTGAAGGCAGTCGCTTAACCAACTGAGCCACCCAGGCGCCCAGGGATGTTGTTTCAACAGGGATGAAACAACAACAAACACGGGCCTGAAATAACATAAATCCATATTGCTTTTTTGAATAAAGCAACGAAGGAATGTTATAAAAATAATACCGTTCTAAGTAATAGCCATATTATCATAATAACTAAAGAAAATTTAGAGACTGATGATGTAATTCCACCATGCTACTTTTCCAGCAGGGCAAAATAGGCCAAGACGGAATCTATGGGATTGACATGCAGACGTGCCTGGGGTGCGGGGGGGACTCTGTGTTGCCTGACACAGGTAAGTGGTTAGTGATGTAAGTGACTACTGAGCAGCTCTGGTCACCCACTTGTTTGGGAGCTTAAACACTTATCTGTGTTAATTCCTAAAATTCTAAGATTCCCTAACAAATGCTTATATAAAGAAATAGAGAGAAATTCAGAAAAAACATTCTCTAATCTACTCCAGACACACTAGAGTGACTGAACCAGGGGTCAAGGTAAGACAGACCACCAAGAAGGGTCTGGACATTTGGGAAGTGGGTGCACACTGAGGAAGAAAACTGATACGTAGGTGTGATCCAAAGGGTAACAATTGAAGATGATTATATATAGCTATCGATTTTAACTAATCTGGACTGCAAATACATGCAAAAACAGTCTTCATCTGCTCTCAGGCATCTCAGACAGAATCCTGAGTTAAAAGAATCAAATTTATTTTGTTCTTTATTACCTAATCAAAGTTACTTTGAAAAAAATATAAAACAATCTCCTTTCTCCTTATGGCACCAATTCAAAAGCATATAACAGCGTATGTACAAATGCATGCTTTTTATTTTTAATTGCTTAGAATGCTAACCTTATCTCCCCTATTACACGGCTAGTCCTGTGTGAGGAACGCATTTCTTTTGCACAGATGATCAGTTAAGAGTTACTTTAGGGCGCCTGGGTGGCTCAGTTGGTTAAGCGACTGCCTTCGGCTCGGGTCATGATCCCGGAGTCCCGGGATCGAGTCCCACATCGGGCTCCCTGCTCAGCAGGGAGTCTGCTTCTCCCTCTGACCCTCCTCCCTCTCATGCTCTCTGTCTCTCATTCTCTCTCTCACAAAAAAAAAAAAAAAAAATTAAAAAAAAAAAAAAAAGTTACTTTAGTGGTTGCCTGACAGAGCAAAGGCCTTTCCGAAGCAGAAGGGTTATTAATCTTTGTATTCCACAGTACTAGGCACTTAGTAATAAATGTCTGTTGTATAAGTGAATGGATGAATGAACAAAAATTTTCTGATAACACTGGGAAGGCAACACAGTCAACGTTCATTCCCAATGATCTATTTGTGCAAACAGCCTGAAGAAAGGACCCTGGAAAGACAGCTAGCCATCCAGCTGACTTGTAGGCAAGCATGTGAGAGATCAAGTCCAATTCTCCTACAAACTAGCAAAGTGACCTTAAGTATCTGGGCTAAGGTCACACAGCTAGAAAACAGAACTCGAAGCGAGATCACCTGATTCTCAGTTCAGCTGTCTTCCTGCTGGTCAGTGGTCACCTTGCTGCTGAATTTGTAAGCTCCTGGCTGCTCCTGCACGTGGGAAGCCCAGCCTAGCACAATCCCTACAACCACTTTAAGATGACGAGACAGTCCAGGTGCCCATTTCTGCCAAGATTCTCTACTTAGGCTTCCCAATCAGAGAGGAAGTCTCTTGATGATAGAAATCGTATCTTAAATAGCTCTGATATCTTCACAACACCCAGAACAAGATGGTGCACACAGACCATCTTAGTAAGTGCCTGCTGAATTCAAACTGGAGAGTAAATTCTAAGGATACCTATTGATTTATGAGTTCAAGCCATAACTGAGATTTATGGTTAAAGCATCAGGAGTTATATCTGAAAGTAAACTAACAGGTTATTATTGGTCAAATGCCATTCCTCCAAGCAGTTTCCAGTGCTGACATTCTGGGTCTCTCTCTGGCTTTTCTTAAGGGAAAGAAGAGCTTCCTCTACCCATTTCCCTGTGAGAAGGATGGCAGAATTAGCCTACTCCATTTGCATGGAGTTAGAGGGGGTTACTCCTCGACACAAACACACATACCAATAAAATAAACATACATTTCCTGAAGTCATTATTTGGTCCAGAAACTCGCACGACATTAACAGGGTCCTCTTTTCCTTACATAAGCACTGGGATCAGCGGAGCTTTTGCCTCTTTTCACCTTAAATAGTGCACTACACATTCAGGAAACAGGGCCTAATCATGCAGAACTTGTGTTACTTGTGGATAATGACAGTAACTACTAGAAAAATAATAACCACCTCCAAAAGAGGCCTTTAGATAGTGAATCACAGAGATCAAAGATGAGCATATTTAGAGGACTTGAATTGTAATACTTATTTATGATTAATGTCTATTTCTCCATGGGATACAAAGTTCAAAAAAAACCTGCCATATTTGGCACTGGGAACTAAAGCAAAGCCTGATGAGCTCTTGTTTTAACACATCAGTGTCAGGTTTCTTTGCTTGCTCAATATGTAATCAGTTTCTTCTGAGTAGCAAAAAAAATCCAGAGCGTAAAGCAGACTTCTTCTACATACTTATGCTGGTAAAGGCCAAGGTTGGTTTCTGTTGTTTTGCGCACATCTGCCCCCCAACTAGGGAAAGAGAAGGTGGGAATCTACTTTTCTTTCATTTTGGCATAGTCTGCATTTCAGAAAAGGTATGTCTAAAATACTCAACTTCCAGTAGGATCTGATAGAGGAGGAAGATTCAATTAACGAGGAATTCTAGAGACGCTTTTTCAAAATCTGGAAAATCACATTGAAAAAAAAGGTGACAGGGCACCTGTGTGGCTCAGTCGTTGGGCATCTGCCTTCAGCTCAGGTCATGATCCTGGAGTTCCAGGATCGAGTCCCGCATCAGGCTCCCTGCTCAGCAGGGAGTCTGCTTCTCCCTCTGACCCTCCCCCCTCTCATGTGCTCTCTCTCTCATTCTCTCTCTCAAATAAAATCTTTAAAAATAAAAACAGTGACAGCTTCCCTCTAGCTAGTTTGATTTAATTACATTGGTAAAGAGAAACAATCATTCAGACATATATAATCAGAAAATCATAAGGCTTTTTAATATAAAGACAAAACACAAAAAGAGAAACGAACCTGTCTTGTGTCACTGGGAAGTAAAGCAGGTAATCGATTCCATTTACTTTTATTTTTCCACTTCCATGCTCATAAACAACTGCTTCCGCTTTTGCACTCTTTCTTTTACCTTTGTAAATACAGAATTTCTATTAGTAAAAATCTTCGAGGTGAATGTTTTGAGATAGGTAAAACGATGTGATATTTTTTCCCCAGAAGGACCATATACTATTACACTGTATATAGTAAAGTTCTATGAGTATTACAAGTCAAACAAAAATAAAACAGGCAAACTACACCATAATTGATGCAATAGAGCTTATTACGGGGTAATTTTGTTCCTCAACTCCATTTTAGGAACACCACAATGATTTAAAATTAGTTTCAATGAGCAATGAAGTAATTCGTATTTATTTATGTTACTTTAGAAAAACAACCACTTTACAGTGTTCTTCTTTGATAATCAGTATATCTAATCATATAACTTTTAAAAATATATGAACAGTATAATAAAATATAATTGGTAAAAAAGAAAAGAATCCTCAGGAAAGGTCCCATTTCTTTGAAAGCATTAGTTGAAATGCCAAGGAAGAATGCTCAACTGTGAAGAGTTGCAGGCTTATCATTTAATGGGTCAGGCCTTAAAAGCTGCATTGTAACGAAGGTCTGCGTGGCTCCAAGGAAGATGTGAGGTTGAGGACCTCAAGTTTTCACGTTTCACAGTTTCAGTATCCAAGCAGATTCCCTGAGCATTTTCATTTTAGATGGGAAACCTTTATCACAAACATTTTTTGTCTCTGCCAGTTGAAAATGTGAAAAAGATTTAACATAAGTCTAAAAATAAAAAGCGTCAACAAGATGGGGTAGGTACGCATCCTTTGGGACATGAGAAGGTTCAGATTTTTTGAAACTTCAACAGTCTTAAAAATTAGAAAATTCAGTGTTGCGGTAGCAAAAAACAAGTGGACCAACTGAATACCAGGGAGTGATAGCAAATAAAAATAATTGTTGTTTCTCGTTTTCACAAAATTTTTCTCTCCGCAGAATGTCATTACCTTCGCTGGTGCTAAAGGCCATTCCTTGCTCATCATACTGCACAGGTTCAATCAGCTGTTTTTTTGATTGAATAGTTACACTCCTACGGAATCTCTGCACAAATTCTTCTTCGGCACCACCGTGCAGTGTCAATAACCTTTCTAGCAGCCGAATGAACTGTGCATACTACAGACAATAAAATAAAAATTCATTAGAAGATGCAAGTGTAATTGCATTTGCTAAATTTTTTTCTATTTTTGTATACCTGATCTTTCCAATGTTGCTTTTCTTGATGAATTTTGACAGGATGACACTCCTGCACCTTCATGCTGCTTTTAAAACAGCATGCAGACGCAACACTTCCCCTGTGTATCCCTCAGTGCCCAATCTTTTCTTTTGAGAAACAAAAGACTTACCAAGCAAAGAAAAATCAGCTTCTCTGTATTTTAATTACATGAAATTGAGATTTAAATTCATTTTCAAAAAATATTTAGATGATCTTCAAGTGTAATTTCTACTCTTTTATTAACTGGATCAAGAGGAGGTTTAAAAATAATTTCCAGTTATGTATAGTAAAATGGGAAGAGCTTGATTTTGAGAAAAGGTACCTCTTAAATTATATTTCATAATACATTTGGCAAATATATCTTTAGCTGTTCAAGCTGTGTTACTTTAATGTTTATGATTTCCTTTAAAACCGAACAATCAAGCTATTTAAAAATTCAAGAGATACTTGACTTAAAGGGCAACCTCTTGAAATAAATTATCCCTGCTACTCTGTGCGTTTTTTTTAATAGTTCTTGAACATGTGATTAGAAAGTAAACAACTTGGTATTAACCCCTTAAAATTAGACGCCAGAGTAATCATACTAAAGTGTTTATGCAGAAGGAGACAACTAATACTCGAGATCCTTAGTTAATGTGGAGTGTGAGACCCAATTTTTGATAACCTTATTTGTGTTTTTGTCAACCCTAAAAATCATACTCCTCTTTGTCGCCTCTGACTTTATCGCGAACATCTACCATTAATGATTTGAAATGTGGAAAAATCTCAACAGTAAGTTTTAAGGGACTGCTTCAATTACTGCTTCCTGTGCTGTCACAATAAAGGAGAGGGGAATTTTCTAGGTAAGGGTGACAGACTCTGCCACCTGCGGTACCTGGACTGACACAGCTCTGCTCTTCCCCTCCATTTCTGGGCCTGTGCCCTCTGCTCTCAGCGGTTCTCTCAATTCCATCACATGCTGACTATAAATGAACAGAGGGGTAGCTACGAGTCTGGCATGGCCTTTCTGATGAGCTAGGGGTAAGGTTTAAGAAGTCCCTGCCTCCCCCTGCCTCCCTCATCTTGATACCAGCCAGCAACTTCAGGACCTCTTCTGCTTTCCAGTACCCCAAAAGGACAGCAGACTATCGTCCACACATCTACTGTCTATGAATAGGAGATACATTCATCATTATGTGTATGGATGGAAAATGCATTTATTTGGTCTTCCAGTTGCACACCTCTAAAAAAAAAGTCCTTGGGATGTTTTCAAAATGGAGAAACAAAAAACCCCAAAAAACAAACTTGTATTATAAAAAAATCAAAGCAGCCAGAAAACATAGGAAACAATGAAATGATACGAAGCAAAGAGAGTTTTTTCCGTTAGATCCAAATGCAGCAATAGCGACTTGGCAGTTAGGATATTAGAAATTAACTCCAGATCTACCACTCACCAAATGCCTGACACCTTGTTAAGCAAGTTGCAACGTTTCCAAATCATTAATTTCTCCAATATGTTAAATGAAAAAAAGCGCAATTTAAGTACATGACTTAAAATCAACACGGGTGGCAAGGTACTAACAATGTTAGCCAGTGCCATGGAAGAAAAAACCCTTCTTGGAACAATTTGTGAAACTTACACTCAAATCTTCTAGAAATAATCTAAATTTAGAATATCAACATATTTAAAACATCAAGTTTCCTCAGATAATATTGGCGTATATTAGAGCCTTTAGCAAAGGAGCACTCCAGTGAAAACCTAAAGCAGGGGGCACAGACTTTATAGGGTATAAGACTCACCTGGGGAGCTGGTTAAAAAGAATTCCTGGGTGACACCCCTGGAAATTCTGAGCGAGGTCTGAATTCTTAGGAAACTGCATTTTCTAACCAGTTTTCTGCCTCCATTTTAAGTGATTCTGACATAGGTGGTTTCTCAGATTCCAAGATGAAAAATACCACCCTTCTAGATACTGCATACAAGTAGGCCAGGGAGCAGCAAATTGCACGAGGGCGACCATGCGCGCCTTTCTTTTTCTACTTCACCTGTGATAACTCCTTACATTAGCTTGTAAAACGAGCTATCGGCTTTACTTAAGGAGATGAAAACTGACCTCTGACGCGCTTCCCTAGAACCGCCAGCGGAGGACACCGAGGGCACTTGTGGATAGGAGGGTCTGGCCAGGAGGCATGTCACCTTCCTGACCGCATAAGGCCCTTTGGCAGAAACCAACTATACATATGTTTTAGAAAGGAAAACTGTCTTAGGAACACCTGCCTCTGAGGAACATTACCGTGACGATCCTAAATACAGCAATTGTCTGCATTCTTACGGCACAGGTCCCCTTAATTTTAAAAGATTAATCACTCACATCTTGATCTGACAGTTTTTCCACTAACATTTCTTCTAGTTCCTCCTTAATCAGCCATCTGCTGCCAATCAGGTCTCTGTTAAAATATCACATATATTCTCTTTTAAATTAACCATGCAATTAGAGTTCTATCACAAAAGATCCCACATGCAGTAGAGATTCTTGATTGGGAAACAAATTTTTGTATTCTAGAGCATTAAAATTTCACCTAAGTAAACTATTTTTGAGAAGTGTTATTTCATTCCCTCATTCTACTTTAAGAAAGACACCCAGTCTAGCAAATGTTTTGTTGGAGGACTTAAACACATTCTTGTGGAACTCATTTGATACGCCAAGCTACCAGGTTTCTTAAAAATTAACACTGTGCTTGTTTTCCATTATTTACTTCAAAGGAGAAGCAATGGACACAAAGTTGACCTGCCAGAGGACTAAAGTAGTCATCAAGTCCAAAGAAAGAGCTAGCGGTGGTAAGTATGACATCAACAAGGGACTCGTCGTGTCTTCTGCATAAGAAGTAGTTAAGCACCGGGCTGACAGATCTAACCTATCACTGTTTGCCCAACGGAAGTCCAAATCTTAACATTTACATGCCTGAATTGTTTTTGGTATTTCAGTAAATATACAGCTACATAAACAAAAATGCTGAGGATCTCCTCTTCAAAAGTAAGTGCCATTTAATACATAAATCTGGAATGAAGATAAAAATAACAGCTGTAATATCTACTTCCTCCCAAACAAAAAACCAGCCTGTTATTTTGACCCCTAACTTTAATGATCGATGCTGAAATCGGGAACACACTTCTAGGCTTTAAGTATGCCTAAACACCACCAATGACAAGTGGTATGTTTTTCATTCAAATTTTGCATGTATTTTAATGCGAGAGAAGAACTTACTTGGTTTTTTCTGAAAATAAACCTTTGGCTTGCAACTGGTTCTGATGCTTTTCTGCTTCTAGTAGCTTTCCATATGCTTCCTGTGGCAAATAAAATATACACGCTAAAATAAGAGCTACAGTACATTATGACTTCTACTTCATATTTTCCCTGTGAGCATCCCTCATTTCAGAAGGGACCTCCTCACAGAATCTAGCTGCACAGCAAATAACACTGAAAACACTTTTTAATTATACTATTTCTCACTCAAACTAAAGGATGGTAGTGTAATTTCAATGAGAATTTAGTATCATACATAATAGCAAATGTTAACTGATTTTTAAATAACTCTAAGAAATTTACTCTAAAAAAATCCTAGTGAGGTTGGAAAACACAAAAGAAAGCTACAAACGATTTTCCTTTAAGTTCCACAAACAAAAATAAAGAAATCATAATTTATATAGCAATATGCACTTTAAATTTAGGGAATTAACCAGCAAAAGTTATGATACTTACAGCTGAACTACTGATCTAATATTCAATATTTACATAATATTTAAGTCCTCACCATGTTAGTCTATGTCTTAAACAGTTTTCTATTATATTTGTTTCATTATTTGATTTGTTTCCATTAATTTACTTTCCAACAAAGTCTGTAAATGTATGTCACTTGTTAAATTGTAATGTAAACGGGGGGAAAACTGCCATTTTGTTAGAACTTGTAAAAAGCAATAATCTGGCAATGAATAGTATCAATAAAATACATTTTCCAGGAAATGAGTTTACAAAAGTAGAATCATGCAAGTTGTCTCCCAGTTTTTTGACTGAACAAATTTTCATTGAGGACTCACATCCAATATGTGTGTATTCACTTATAATTTAACATAATCTACCATACTGATACCTAATGAGTAGACATTTTCAAAGGATGAGCCAGAGATGATATAAATGACATTTTTTTCTTGCTGATCATGACACCTTCCAATATCATCAGCTTCTTACTGTCAGATAATGAAGACACAACTTGTCACTGTAGACATGTTCATCCATCTCTCAAATAGTCTTAATAATTTCAAATTTTGGAAGGGCAACTTCTTGTTGGCTCTGATTAAACTGCCAGAGGTTGCTGACAGAGTTTGTTCTAAGAAAAGAGGAAGTGTCCCTTTGCATGGGTCTCTGTCTGTACCAGCGTGCGTACATTAACAGTGTACATGAGGATCTCAAACAAAGTGAAACCATCACCAGTTTGGTAACTATAAAGGTAAGTTCCCAGGGCAGAAGCGGCAGCATAAGCATAGAACTGGTTAGAACTGTAATTTCTCAGGCCCTAACCCAGACTTTCAGATGAGCAACCTCTGGGGTGGGGCCCACTGATCTGTTTTAATGATGACCCTAAGTTACATACACTGACGTTTGGATCTAAACACTAGAAGTATCAAGAGTCTAGTTCAACATAATATAGCAAAGGGACAAATTCAGTTAATTCTATTCTAGTGTCCATATTAAGTATAACAATCTCTACAACTATATCCAAAGCACAAATCCATCGCCCGTAGCAGCAGTACTACAACCATCTACCCCCAAAGAAAGCAAAAATGAATGTGAACCATCCACATGTAGTATATATACCTGCTATTCAACTTAAAATTCTACAATTTATCTCCAAAGAATTGGTAAGCCTCATTTGACTGGCTGTGTAATTTAACTCCCAAGAATTGGTTAAGTCTCATTTGACTTTTAACTCATTTTAAAAGGCTAAGATACTGGATTGTGACCCCACCTGGATACCATATCAGAACAATTTCTGTGCACCTGTTTCTAGAAAGCAATTCTCAAATGCTCTGAATAGGTAAAATAAAGGAAGAAACAAGAACCCAGAAGACGAATCCCACCCCACTTGTACAAAGGAGACAGACACAGCGCACATGGCACCTCTCTGTGCACCAGGCCCCCCGCTGTCAGCAGGCTGGCCCCAGCCACATTGCTACACCTCGGGGCTCTGGTGAAGGAATGGCATCAGTCTCTCTGGTCTGCTCCAGAGTCTGGACGTTCTGAGGGTACGGAAGTCAGAGATGTTGTATCTTTCAAATCCAGCTAAAAAAAATGCAAACCCAAGAGAACACCAACAACAGTAATAAGATGCCTTCTCCTGTTCGTAAGGCTGTTTCTGGAATAACTATGACAACTAGAAATAATAATAACTATTATTATTATTATTGACCTGCCTCACAGTCAAATTTCAAGTCAATGTGTGGACTGCTAAAGTCATCATCATTTTCCAGTGACTCTGGACCAACTTTTAAGTCCATACTCTTCTTCACCTTTTTTTTCACTATGTCATTACCTTTCATGGTTATATTTAGCTCCATAATCATTTAGAAGTAGTACAAGCGAAATAATGAGAAAAAAATGAGGACTATGAGAAAACCACCCATGAATAGTACATGTCAAATTTCAAACATGGTAAATTTTATTCATTTACGGCAGATGCTTACACTTTGATGGTTGTGATCCATCGAATTATGTAATTCTCATTAAGCCACCCCATACATTTCTTTAAATAGGAAAACATGCATCAAGTATTTAGCGCAGTGCCTGACCTGCAGTAATGGTCAAGAAATGACAGGAGGGGGGCGGTATGGCATTCAAGAGTCTAACAATTGAAACAATTTTACTGGTGTACCATTTCTATTTATTCTTTCTCTTCTATATAAATAAAGTCACTCTAGAGATCCTACCTTAGTTAGAGACAACAGCTCTCTGGAAAGTAGATTCTATAGCTTCAGCTCCCTGAAGAGATGTATACTAACCTGCATCAAAAAATCCCTGAGGGTATAAAATATGCCAGGAACTGTCAACATCACAGATTATCACTGGTAGCTTCTGGTATATTGTTAAGTTTCCACTTAATTTTTTAAAGGACACTAGAGAATTAGCGTGACCCCACCTACACTAAGTTTATATACTGTATTTAATAGTATAATTTTCAAATACGACAGGAATAACCCAGATGTGAAATGCTGAATCATTAATCACAGCTATGATTAATATTTCATAAAATCAAAGCAAGCCTATCCACCCCTCGTGTCATCAGATTTCCATAATGTATGAGTCAAATTTAGAAGGTGCCTAATTTGAAAATACCAGATGCTCAGGTTGCAGAAAAGGGATGTGTTTAAACTAAACCCTTCCAAGAGCATGAGCAATATGATTTTTTAGTATTCTTCTAAAATCTGTTTTGGCTATAATAATCATGTAGAAATTCCAATTTTAGGAAGGGTAAACAAAATTTCTTGTGGGGGTGGTATCAGAAAAGTCAACTGTATTTTGATACCCAAAACATACACTAATAAACTAATAGTAACTGTCATCTTAGATACTAGTTAAATAACAGAATAGTAATGGACTTAAACTATGTCAAAAAGAAAAAAGTCACAGAAAATCAGATTTCCTAAGTAGCAATCTTCCCCAATTTTTGGCTACTGGCATATACAATGAAATAAAATGAAATAAACATAGAATTCATCTATCATGGTTACTGCTATTTATCTAATGTTTTAAGTGACATACTGCTATCACACACCCTTGCTAACACTTTGTGAATACAATATGCTGCCTTAAAGGGGCATGCAGAGAGATGTCAGCGCCGCTCTGTAGCTTTTTAAAAATCAGCACTTTGCACAGTTTTAAAGGAGTTATTTCATAATACCTCATTGTGAGAAGGGTCGCTGTTTTAACTCCATTTTTAAAGATAAGGACACTAAATCAAAAGTTTTAAATATTCACCACAAGGTTACAAAGACAATGCAAAGTACGGAAGAATTCTGTGGCACTAAGTCCCCAGGACTTCTGCTCATTGGACTCTGGGATCTTCACATAGTGAAGTCACTTCGAGGGCTGTTGTTCTCATGCTTTATGAACACAGAAGGTTAAGTCATTTAAAATAAATCAGAGACTTTCTAAATAAGCCAGGCTTTTTTCAAAAGGCAAATGAATCCCGTTTATGCATAAGTTATCAGGATTAGAATTACTTGGTTTTCTTTCAAATTTTAACTTTTTTTCCACTTCAGCAGAGTAGTTTAAATAATATATAATGATCTACTTATTCCTTAATTTCAAACTTTTTTGGGTAGGGATTTCATCTGTGGCCATGTAATTCCTTCAATTCACGGAAATACTTTGAAAATATTCCATTGTTTACTGTAAAACAAGTCCTAAAATATAAATGAGGTTCATAGATTTAAGAGACTCAATTCCCAGTGCAGTAAAAACTGCATCTAAAAAGAGATGCACAACCATATCATAGAAACTGGGGTGAGGGAGATTGTGTAAAATGTCAGCAAATGCCTAAGGTGTTTGATAAATGATTTTTTCCTAAGCACTGGTCTCATGGAACGTTCAAAGGGGCTCTGGGCAGAAAGGGTTCCGTGACCCGATGTTTGAGCAGTAGTGGGTTACTGCAACAGGCTTCTTCACCGCTGGACTTTATCATGCTATCACGTGGCTCCTGGTGGAGTTTCCCAGGACTCAATGTGCGGCACTGCCAAACTCACTTCGTGGCAGAACCTTTTTCATGAAGAATATTTTATAACCTGTGTTTCTTAGCAAGCACTTAGGGAAAGGCTGCAGTAGACATGCCCGGACTTAATGAATCATATTTTACAAAGGGTTCCCACTTCAGAGTCAAATAATGACCTCCTGTAATGAATTTTAAATAATTTTCAATTCGCTTATAGTGAGTGAATTTAAAATTTTTCAAGAACACGTATATATTAACAAATAAACCTGAATTAACATTTTTCCCACAATTAAAGGCCCTGCCCAAACTCAACCATGGCTGTCCAGGTTGTAAATGTCTCGCTCATGGGCACAGCCTTCTTCCACCACCAGCGTGGCCGGTCTTGGACAGGTACCTCTCGACTCCCGCACCAGGCTGGCAGGCCCCAAGGGCAGACAGACCACCCTTCCGGCCTGTCTCCTGACTATGCACACTGGGTTTTCTCCTCATCTAGAGCAAGGCTATTCACAGCTCAGTTGTACCATGGCATAGGATTTTCTTTTCTGCACGCACACATATATCCTCTTTAAAAATTCTTCCCTTTCCTTCATACTTTGGCTCAGTTGTTTCAGGAAACTTCTCTTTTTCTCCCTCTGTTTGTTCCTTCTGCTCCTGAAACCCTAAACTGAAACTCTAAATCATGTCTGAAAAGTATACAAGTTCTCCTCGTCACATAGCTATTAAGGAAATGGAAAGCCATCGATTTTGGGTGAGAAAAGACAGATGAGCCAGTGCCATCAAGCGTGGAGCTCCCTTTTCAGTACTCAACGATCCTTTGAGAAACTCCTTAAGTCTCTTACTTCTTCTTAAACTACTTTTTATTGTTTAAGACATTACTTGTTTATACTGTCCTATACTTTTTACATTACATATGCACACCATATTCACTACAGTGTAAAATCAGTGGGTTTTTATTGACTTTCCCAGGAACCTGAAGACATATATCGTATCCGTAGGAAAAAGGGAGTTCCAAGGAAGGTGGTAACCACCTTTGGAAAGTAACACATTTACAAAGTCTGAGACCGCCATGGATCAGCGCATTTCCTCCACTTTACGCTTTCCTATCATGCTTCACTTCTGGGCAGGAACAATAAATTGCTTCTTTCTTCTCGTCCTCATCTTCCCTCAAAAACCTCCCTGCCTCTCCACAAAGACCGGATGGACTGATGATAGGCCAATTGGAAACAGTGTTCACTAAAACATTGTATGTTATCCTGAACTGTAAGCCACATCGGGACTTTCCTGTACTAGTTGCTGTGAGGTAATATATAAGTCTATTATACAAACAGTGACCAAATACTAAAAACAGGAATTGGCATTATTACAGAAGATAAAAAGGTTAATTGATGTCAGAAAGGTCTCCTGAGCAGAACTGCACACATGCTCTAGATCTGTGGGGTTTTTTGTCAAAAAGCTTGGCCCATGACTGCCATGCCTGACAAAATTACAGTTGGCTAATGATAAAAACCTAGTTTGGCTTATGGTCTTTTTACCCTGTCACATGGTAAGAAAATGTATCAAAGAAATGGCAAGAACAAAGATACATTTCCAAGTGTTTAGGGCCTGCCACAGTCTTTGGGGGCTGACTCCTTGCTGCAGTGGGATCACTCTCCTACAGAAGGAATAGCATCTGACACCCCCCAACCCCCCTGCCAAGAGAAGGCAGACCCCCCCACCAGCCAAGAGAAGGCAGAACAAAGGAGCAAGCAAACACATGAAGCAGTTTCAAGTTTTATCCTTTTTCTTTTTACCCAATGCCTGACTTCCCTACAAAACCACTTCTGTAAGCTGACCAGTGGATATTTAGTCACATACTATTTCAAAGTAACAGAGAGCCTCTAGGAGGAAGCTCATCTGCATGATCTAGGACATGAGGCTGGTAGGACTACAGCTGTTAATAACACTGGCCATACAGGGCACTGATTGGCAAATATTTAGGAAAGCATTTGTCCTTTTCTCCATGCATAAATTTACTTTAAGATTCCATAAAAAGAAGTTTTGCAAATACGAGGTTTTATTAATTATCCGAATTAAAATGATCAAGTTAACCCAAAAGAGCTGTAATTCATATGTGTAATTCATATGTGTAATTCATATGTTCCGATGAGAAATACAACAAATGCGAAGCCCCACACTGCTTGGGGAGTCAGAACACCCAACAAAATAAACTGCCCTAAATTACTGGAGTTTCACTAAAACAAAAAAGCCCAAAGAACTCTGCTCTACATAACAGAAACTATATTACTCAAAAAGAAAAAAAACAAACCTTTATTAATCAGACGTAATTTGACATTTTCAGTCAGAGTACGGTAGCATTTTATCCAATGAGAAACGTATCAGTTTCTTGAGCAGTACCTTTCTAAAACACAGAAACCAACCCAAATCGAAGTTAGGTCCCTTTACAATGCGTAATTTCTTCATTCTGATGGAATGCAACAAAACATCTTGCCCTTGGGTTGCTCAGTTTCAGCCCAAACAAATGCAAATGGCGTGTCAGCTGACAGCTGTTTGGTAAGGCTCCCTTACACGACCTGCATGCTTTACTTTTTTCCGTGAAACTCGGGATGAAAGGCAGAAGGCAGGAAGAGAATTAATGTAGCATACAGTCTAAAGGCAATGCTACAACCGTGATTAAGTAGAAAAGTTAAAAGGCACAGATTTTCCACAGCTTCGCTGCGTGCAACCCATCCGTGTAACAAGTTGACAGGCCTAGCGCGTCAGCTCCATCATCCCCTCCGACAGCTAAAACGCAGCACTGCATCCCTTTTCAGAGAAAATTTGCGTCTGCACCATGAAGCGTTGTACATTATTTCTTAGCACTGCAGGGGGCTCAAGTCCATATGGAACCTTCACAAATATTACCACAGATCAAACCAGCGGCGTTGGGAGGCAGATTTGACATACCTATTTAAATGAACAGCAGGGGTCCTCGGGCAGCCTCGGGCTGCGGGGGCAGCTCGGCGGAGCGCCAGCCGCAGCTCCATTAGTCAGCAAAGACACACTCTACATTTATCATTCATTTCATTTCTGCCAGGGCAAGAAGCTCATTTGCCCAAGGTCAACAAAAAGCGAAAAGAAGGTTTTCTTTTTTTTCCCCCAGAAATAAATGTACCTGACAAGTGGGGATTTTGTCCTTTGGGTCTGTGGAGCACAAATAAACACCAGAGAGTTCTAAAAGAGCCGAGTGAATGTGTGCCTGGGATTCAAGCAACCTGAAAGCTGACTGAGGATGCGGAAGCCCAGTGAGTGTTTTTGCAACTTTTAAAAATCATATTGTGAAGAAAATAAAACTTGACATCGCGTTCTTAAGGTAACACGGGCCCTGTTGTCGAAAACCGGGTATTAGCATCTAGCCATTTTATTCATAGCACCCTAGGGAACCCCCAAATTTGCACGCTACCAAACACAGCTCTGAACCAACAACAGAAAGCTGTTCCCAGTACACTCAAACACAGATGCAAGTCATGGTGTAATAACACCATTTCTTAGGTCTTTTGGAGGCACAAATTCTAGACTCCTGATGCTGCACTTGCTTACTCTGAAAGGCAAAAACTGCATATGAATAAACAGAAAGTACAGACGACATTTTGACTCTCTCCGTGGTCAATGCCTTACAGCCCCTGACAGCAGCACACACTCATCCCCTTTCCAGCTTCGCGCCTCACCTTCTGCACGTACGTGCATTATTACTGAGTGGAGCACTTACCTTCTAAAACGATCTCAATTTGTAAGAACCAGCATTTGAAGGCCAAACCATCCTGATACAAATTCTATGTTTATTTACCTTTAGCAAAAATGAATTAGTAATATATACAGTCTTTTGACATACTGTCTTACCTCTAGAGGTCTTAGTTTTGCTCAATATGAAACATACTAGGTAAATCCTGAAGCCAAGCAAAATCTCTGGTACAGTCACCTAGCTTACAGTTCATATTATTAATCATCGATGTAATATACTTACATGCATTAATGAATAATACGACTGTTTGCCAGTATAAAAGAGAAAATGAAATGGACGGCCATCTTCTCCCCACTGGATTGCTAATAAAAAGCCAGATGAAAACAAATAAACAAAAATAAAAATTTATGCAGAGAGAGACCAAATAGCTATGTTTAACTGAAGTTAGGAGACATGTCTACAATTCTGATTAACTTTTAAAATGACAAAACAGCATTAATATTTAGAATTTTAATATTTAGTTCAGCATGTTTAACGTGCATGCAAACTATTTAGGATATTTAATATTCCACACTCATTAACATAAAACAAGGCTTGTATCTTTGATAAAATATTCCTGTATATTTCATCATGAGAATTTCTAGAACTTGTTTTAAATAAACACACATAAAATAGCAAAAATCATCTTGTTGGAACAAAAAAATCTAGGTTTGGCTATAAATACAACATGCTCCCATATTCTTAAAAAGGGAAACTGAGAAAGTAATGACGTCGTACATTCAGGAAATTAGGAAAAGGCATAATAAAACAACAAAGAAAAAAAACTAAATGGATTTTTCCATGCCACATTACTTGTTCCAACTCTGTGGTGACATACCTCTGAGAGTTTAAATGTCTAAAACAGAAGGGGCCCCCACAAGGTGTTATGTGTAATTCCTTTTGAAATACAGATGGTCATTCACATCTAATAAACACCAAACAGAGGAATGGAGTCACTGTAGTAAATAAACCAAACCTGACTCCACATCCTTTGCCCTTATTTCTACTGAGTTGTTTCTCGGTTAACCATTTATGGGAACTTCAATACATTAAAGGTATACTCCTCTGTCAATTACAGAAGTTGAAAACTCTTTTCTCCCAATCTGTCACTTTTTTAAAAAAAATTATTTTTTAGAGAAAGCATCTTTCTTTTTTTTTTTTAACGATGAAGTGCTTTATTTTTTTTTTCATGGGGAGGGTGTGTGAGACAAACACAGACAGCCTTAATGTGTTGAAATCCTGTGTCATCCATCTTTTAATTTGGTTTACAGTGTCCTTCATAGTCAAGAAGTTTAAAATATATGTATACTGTAGAATCTGTCACTTTCCTCTATGGCATGGTTTATTGGCTGTTTCTCACTATCATCCCTACTAAGGAGCCTTGTTAGACATCTTTTTCCTAATTGCCTCTCTCCCCATGAAACTTCAGTACCACCAATATACTGTGGATCTGTTGATGTACACGGTGGCCCTTTGGAGGGCTGTAAACATTCTAACAGCTCAGACATTTCTCATCTCCTGTGAATCCATTTATGCCCCCCAGGGACAACATCACTCCTATGGAGAGAACATGCTTTAAGACTTTAGGCTTTCTAAAAACTATTTTCCTACATTTTCTTCTGAAAAAAAAAATTTTTTTCATGTTCAGAAATTCCATCTATCTGAATTATGTTCATCAGGCAGAAATCCAAGTTATTACCTTGTCCAGCAAAGAGAATCTTTATCCCATCACTTTTTTGATACTATACTCTTCTGTTGAGTAAATCTTCTTTTAAAGATTAATTTTAGGGGGCGCCTGGGTGGCTCAGTTGGTTGAGCGACTGCCTTCGGCTCGGGTCATGATCCTGGAGTCCCGGGATCGAGTCCCGCATCGGGCTTCCTGCTCAGCAGGGAGTCTGCTTCTCCCTCTGACCCTCTTCCCTCTCGTGCTCTCTATCCCTCATTCTCTCTCTCTCAAATAAATAAATAAAATCTTTAAAAAAAAAAAAGATTAATTTTAGAGAGAGAGAGTGTGAGAGAGCACTCGAGTGAGCATGAGCAGGGGGAGGGGCAAAAGGAGAAGGAGAAAGAATCTCAAGCAGACTCCACACTGAGCACAGAGCCCAAAGTGGGGCTCGATCTCATGACCCTGAGATCACGAACTGAGCCAAAACCAAGAGTCCGACACTTAACCACCCGGGCGCTCCACTATGCTCTTGTGTTGAAATACCACCTGTACAATAAATAGAATACTTCTGCTTCTGAGGATAACTGACATTACACATAGGCCACTTTAAATGAATGTATTTAAAACAAAGACCAAAATTTCATAATAAATTATGAAGGAAAGTCTTGATAGGGATTTTAGCTTAAAAAAGAAAAGCAGATTCTTATATGCCAATGGTTGTGGATGAATTAAATACTTCTCCAACATCATTTTCACAGATTTCATGAAATCCTGCATATTTTCCAATATTTATAACTTCACTATGCAATCCATTTGCACTGTGTTGTTAAAGCAGTCAGTCAGAAAGCGCCTAAGAAAGACAAATATCATGGCTGCAGATAAGACTCTACTGTAAAAGTTGGGAGGGGTTTCTGAGTTGGGTCTCATTTCATGTGTGAGTGTGAGTATACAGAGGTGTGTGTGTCTACTTGATTTCATAATACTTCATTCAATCTAAGATGTCACAGATTTTAAGATGTCCCATCATGTATCTTATACAAAGGAAGGAAAAAATGCTGGTCATCATGGTTTACATTAACTGTAAAATGAATCCTGTTGTCTAAGTGTTAAAACTGAAAACTATTTTAGAATTCACAAAATGCAGCATAAAAAACATGCTAATGCTGAATACTCTCATCTGGGCCACAGGTGTGTCTGTCAGAATACTGCACCACTACCACCATTTGATTAAAATAAGCTTTTGCTGCATTTTGATAGTGGGTAGGGTAAGGTTGCTACATTACCCTTACTTCTTTTTAAAAATTTTTCTCTGCTTCTTGCACATTTACTCTTTCAAATAAAGTTTATAAATATCTCCCAAAAGTCCTATCAGGACTTTGATTAAAATTATATATGTTTGTTAATGATTTTTAAGGAAATAACTTTGCAGTATCTTTCTTTACAGGAACATGAAATCTTTCTTCTAGCTATTCAGGCTTTCACCTATGAGCTTTAAGTTTCATAATTTTCTACATAAAAACTAACTCTTGCATATTTTTGTAAGTTTTATCTGTTTTAGTTTTTATTGTTTTTTTTTAATAGACTTTATTTATTTGAGAGAGAGAGAGAGAGAAACAGCATGAGAGGGGAGAGGGTCAGAGGGAGAAGCAGGCTCCCTGCTGAGCTGGGAGCCCGATGCGGGACTCGATCCCAGGACTCCGGGATCATGACCTGAGCTGAAGGCAGTCGCTCAACTGAGCCACCCAGGCGCCCCTAGTTTTTGTTGTTCTTGACATTGCCCCCTCATTTAACCATGTTTTCTACAAAATCAACTTTATGCAATATACCCTTCTTTCACTATTTTTTCAACAAACATTTTCTTTAGAGCAGGTCACAACAAAGTTGAGAGGAAGATAGAGATTTCCCATATACCATCTTTGCCCCCACATATGCATAGCCAGCTCCATTATAAACATCCCCTAACAGTGTGACACCTTTGTTACAAGCGATGAACCTACTCTCTCTGGCGCATTATCACACTAAGTCCATAGTTAACATTAGGGTTCACTCTTGTTGTACACCCAGTGGGTTTGGATCCACCACTATAATACTATACAGAGTAATTTCAGTGCCCTAAGGATCCTTTGTGCTCCACCTACTCCCCTATAAACATCTGTCTGCAGGTTTCTGTGTGGACTTAAGTGTTCAACCCCTCTGGATAAATACCAAGGAACACAAATGCTGGATCATATGGGAAGAGTATGTTTAGTTTTGTAAGAAACCGCCAAACTCTCTTGTATCTTTTTTGTATTCCCAAGAGCTCCTGTTGCTCATCGTCCTTGGCACAATTTGGTGGTGTCAGTGTTCTGGATTTTGGTCATTCTAACAGGTATGGAGTGATATCTCACTGTTGCTTTAATTGGTATTTCCCTGATGTGAAGCATCTTGTCATATGTTTGCCATGTATGTATCTTCTGTGGTATCTATTAAGAACTTTGGCCAATTTTTAAATTGGGTCATTGGTTTTCTTACCGTTGAGTTTAAGAGTTCCTTGTGTATTTTGGATAACAGTCCTTTATCAAATGTCTTTTCCAAATATTTTCTACAATCTGTGACTTGTCTTTTCATTCTCTTGACAGTGTCTTTCTCACAGCAGAAAATTTGAATTTTAATGAAATCCAGCTTCTCCTTTAGTGTTGTATATAAAAAGCCATGGCCAAACCCAAGATCTGCTGGGTTATTAACTACTGATTCAATTTCTTTAACTGACATAGGCCTATTCAAATTGTCTACTTCTGGTGTAAGTTTTGGCAGATTTTATCTAACCTACAAGGAAATGGTCCATTTCACGTAGGTTATCGTATCTGAAGGCAGAGAGTTGTTCACAGTATTCCTTGATTATCCTTTTAATGTCCCTGGGATCTGTAGCGGTAACCTTTCTTTCATTTCTGGTACTAGTAATCTGTGTCCACACTCCTTTCTTTCAGTTAACCTGACTAGAGGCTCATCGATTTTGTTGATAAAACTGACATATAAAATTATCAAAGAACCAGTTTTTGTTGATTTTCTCCACTGATTTCCTGTTTTCAACTTCACTGACTTCTGCTATAATTTATCATTTTTTCTTCTACTTATTTTGGATTTAATTTGCTCTTCTTTGTCTAGTTTCCTAAGATTGAAGCTTAGATAAGTGATTTTTAGATCTTCTTTTCTACTATACACATTCACAATGCTATAAATTTCCCTCTGAATACTTCTTTTGTTCATTCTTTTTATAAAGATTAAATATTAGAATTCCCTTGCCAGAGGCAAGGCTGAAAAGTTCATTGTTCTAGACTCTTTCAGTACATTTATCTATGTTTACCTACTGAAATACAGAGGACTGTCTGCATGTTTTTTAAAAACACAAATGGTATTAAGCTGTATTTATACTACATACTTCCTATAGACTATTTGTCTTCCCTGCCCCCAAAATTCATGTCAGAACCTAACCTTCAATGTGCTGGTATTTTGGTGTGGGGCCTTTGGGAGGTGATCCAGTCGTACGGGCAAAGCCCTCATAAATCGGATGAGTGCCCTCACGGAAGGAACCCCAGAGATCCTGGGTCCCTTCTCCACATGAGGACACAGGGAAAGACAGTGGTCTATGAACCAGGAAGCAGGCTCTCACTTGCTGTC